AATGTTTTTATAGCCATGCTCTCAATGCAAAATTTCTTAGAGAATGTTTTTATTTCTGATCATAAAGAGGAAAACGGATGTTTATTTAATTCAGATATATTTTATTTAAGTATATATTAATATGGTAAAAGAGGTTTCACGTTTTTAAATCGATGGTTAATGGTAGAATGCCCGTTCCCAATGGAGAGACCCGGGTTCGATTCCCGGTCGGTGCAATAGAAATGTTTTTTACAGCCATGCTCTCGATACAAAAATTTTTGGAGAAAGTATTTGAATTCTGATCATGAAAAAAAAACGGATGTTTTTATATATTAACATATATTATACTTACAGTATATATTTCTTAGGTAAAAGACTTTCCGTGTGGCATCGATGGTTCAATGGTAGAATGCTCGTTTTCCCAAAGGAGAGACCCGGGTTCGATTCCCGGACGGTGCAATAGGAATGTTTTATAGCCTTACTCTCGATAAAAAGTTTTTTTTGGAGAACGTATTTGAATTCTGATCATAAAGATAAAAAGGATGTTTTTATATTAACATATATTATACTTACAATATATATTTCTATGGTAAAAGACTTTTCATGTGGCATCGATGGTTCAATGGTAAAATGCTCGTTTCCCAATCGAGTGACCCGGGTCGATTCCCTTTCGGTGCAATAGAAATGTTTTACAGCCATGCTCTCGAACAAAATTTTTTGGAAAAAGTATTTGAATTCTGATCATGAAAATAAAACGGATGTTTTTATATCTTTATATATATAAATCTTTATATATATAAATCTCGCGTCACAATGTTTGTCCTCAATGGACTCCTGAACCACTTAACCGATTATAATAAAATTTGCACACCATGTGCAGTTCGATCCAACTTGAGAGATAGGATGGTTTTCATTTCAATTTATCACGCCATAATTTTTTTATAGCCGGAAATGTGAAGAATCCTGAAAAAACGTTGCCAGATTCCCGTAAGGGATGCTCATTCGGTTCTCTCGACGTTATTTCTGAATTTCGTCAAGGTCATTCACGTTGCGTTAGCTTTGTGTTTGGAAGATGGGAAAAGTTGAGGTAGTTTTGAGTCTCGCTGCGTAGAAAAAGGGGAATTCCCTCATATAACCCATCACAACCGATGGTTTTTTTTTATTCTTAAAGATTGATTTATTGAAGAACAGTAGAATATAAGAAAAAAAATATCATAAAAATTATAAGGAAATATTTTTAAATATATTTTTATCACATAGTATTATTTTCTTTTTGAATTTCATACTGTGAAATGAATCAATATCGTTGCGTTTAAATAAAAATTATTTTTAAAACTTTTAATATCAGTGATTTAAAAAATAAAAAGCCAAAAACTTTTTTGAACAAACTTTAATAAAACACTCAAAATACTTAATAATTAATAATTTTTCCCGTGTGTCGAACATTTCAAAAAATCCTCACAAGACCCCCAAGGGGTGTTGCGGGGCGGGGGGTTTAAGGGGCGTTATAAATTTTTATTTTTAAGTTATTAGACGTACAGTCTTGAAACTTAGTAAGCAGATTCTTCTCATAGGGTAGATATACGCTAAAAATGGGTTTCGTGAAAATTGTCCCCAAGTGGCGTTGAGGGGACTTAAGGGGCGTTATAGATAATTATTTCCATTTTTAAACTATTAGACGCACAGTCTTTATAGAGTAGAGATCAGCTATAAGAAGGTTTTGTGAAAACAGATCTCTAAGTGGCGTTGCAGGGGAATAAATGGCGTAAGAGATAAATATTTTCGTTTTTAAACTATTTGACCTACCTGCTTGAAAATTGGTAGGAATGTTTCTTTCATGGAGTAAATATCCGCTACAAAACGGGTTTTGAGAAAATTGACCCCCAAGGGGTGTTGCGGGGGTTAAGGGCAGATATAAATAATTATTTCTTCTTTTAAACTATTAGACTCATAGTCTTGAAATTTGGTTAGCAGATTCCTCTCATAGGATAGAAATACACTGCAAAATTTGTTTTGTGAAAATCGACCCCTAGGTGGTGTTGCGAGGGTTCAAGGGGCGTTATTGATAATTTTTTTGCATTTTTTAATAATTAGACGCACAGTCTTCAAATTTTGCTAAGCAGATTCCTTTCATAGAGTGCAATTCCCTACAAAATGGGTTTTGTGAAAACAGACCCACAAGTGGCGTTGCGGGGGCTCAAGTGGCGTTATAGACAATTATCCCCATTTTTAAACTGTTCGACGTACAGTCTTGAAATTTGATAAGCATATTCCTTTCGTAAAGTAGAGAACAGCTACAAAATGGGTTTCGCGAATATCAACTACTAAGTTTAATTTCGGGAGATTAATAGGCGTAATCGATAAATATTTCCATTTTTAAAGTACTTGATCATCCTGCTTGAAAATTGGTAGGCATGTCCCTTTCATGAAATGGAGTTCCTCTAACAAAGAGTAAAATGAAAATTGACCCCCAAAGATGTTTGCGCGGGGTCAAGAGGAGTTACAGAAAAAAATTCCTGCTTTTAATTGTTAGACCCATATACTTGAAATTTGTTAAGCATGTTTCTTTTGTTGAATAGGGATCCACTAAGAATAAATTTTAATCAAATCAAGTTCTGGGGGGTTGCAGGGGGTTACTGGGACGTATTGACAAAAAAATTACTTTTTTCGAGCTACAAGGACTATAATAATGAAATTTGGTTTGCGTTTTTCTTTTGTTGAATTGATATCCGCTAAGAGCGGTAATTTTGGAAAACGGCTCTCAACGGGATTACGGGGATATTGATAGTAAAACTTTTGCTTTTTTCTGTTAGATTTAGACTTGAAATTTGGCTTGCATGTTCAATTTACGGAGTAGAGATCCACCGAAAATTGGTTTTGTGGGAATCCATTTGGTTTTTGAGTTACGAAAGAGCAAACATCATTCTATGCTTCAATTTTAGAGATTTTTAGAAAATACAAATTAGATGAGTTCTGCCCTTTTTTTTTATCAACAGGTGACAGTTACAGGTATAAGTATATTTTTCAATTTAATCGAAGAATTCTTAATGCTAGGACTTAGATATCAATAATTTATACATATATATAAGCAGTAAAAATTTATAAAACATCATGAAATACCCAGCGAAGCGGGTGGGTAACAGCTAGTATTAACATATATTATACTTACAGTATGTATTTCTATGGTAAAAGACTTTCCGTGTGGCATCGATTGCTCGATGTTAGAATGCTCGTTTCCCAATCGAGTGACCCGAGTTCGATTCCCGGTCGGTGCAATAGGAATGTTTTTATAGCCATGCTCTCGATACAAAATTTTTTGGAGAACGTATTTGAATTCTGATCATAAAGATGAAAACGGATGTTTTTATATATTAACATATATTATACTTACAGTATATATTTCTATGGTAAAAGACTTTTCGTGTGGCATCGATGGATCAAAGGTAGAATGCTCGTTTCTTAATCGAGTGACCCGGGTTTGATTCCCGATCGGTGCAATAGAAATGTTTTTTTAGCTGCTCTCGATACAAAATTTCTTGGAAAATGTATTTGAATTCTGATCATAAAGATGAAAACATATGTTTTTATATATTCACATATATTATACTTAAATATATACTATTATGATAAACACTTTCCGTGTGCAATCGATGGTTCAATGTTAGAATACTCGTTTCCCAATCGAGTGACCCGGGTGCGATTGCCGGCAGGAGCAATAGGAATGTTTTTATAGCCATGCTCTCAATGCAAAATTTTTTTGAGAATGTATTTTATTTCTGATCATAAAGATGAAAACAAATGCCTTTATATATATTCACATATATTATACTTAAATATATACTATTATGGTAAAAGACTTTTCGTGTGGCATCGATGGTTCATTTGTAGAATGCTCGTTTCCCAATCGAGTGACCCGGGTTCTATTCCCGGTCGATGCAATAGAAATGTTTTTATAGCTGCCTCACGATACAAAATGTTGTTGAGAACGTATTTGAATTCTGATCATAAAGATGAAAACGGATGTTTATTTAATTCAGATATATTTTACCTATAGTATATATTAATATGGTAAAAGAGGTTTCACGTTTTAATCGAAGGTTCAATGGTAGAATGCTCGTTTCCCAATGGAGAGACCCGGGTTCGATTCCCGGTCGGTGCAATAGGAATGTTTTTATAGCCTTTGCTCTCGATAAAAAATTTTTGTAGAACGTATTTGAATTCTGATCATAAAGATAAAAAGGATGTTTTTATATATTAACATATATTATACTTACAATATGTATTTCTATGGTAAAAGACTTTTCATATGGCATCGATGGTTCAATGGTATAATGTTCGTTTCTAAATTGAGTGACCCGGGTGCGATTGCCGGCAGGAGCAATAGGAATGTTTTTATAGCTATACTCTCAATGCAAAATTTCTTGGAGAATGTATTTTATTTCTGATCATAAAGATGAATACTTATGTTTTTATATATTCACATATATTATACTTAAATATATACTACTACGGTTATAGACTTTCCGTGAGGCATCGATGGTTCAATGGTAGAATACTCGTTTCCCAATCGAGTGACCCGGGTTCGATTCCCTTTCGGTGCAATAGAAATGTTTTTACAGCCAAGCTCTCGATACAAAATTTTTTGGAGAAAGTATTTGAATTCTGATCATGATAATAAAAACGGATGTTTTTATATATTAACATATATTATACTTACAGTATATATTTCTATGGTAAAAGACTTTTCGTGTGGCATCGATGGTTCAATGGTAGAATGCTCGTTTCCCAATCGAGTGACCCGGGTTCGATTCCCGGTCGATGCAATAGAAATGTTTTTTTAGCTGCCTCACGATACAAAATTTTGTTGAGAACGTATTTGAATTCTGATCATAAAGATGAAAACGGATGTTTATATAATTCAGATATATTTTACTATAGTATATATTAATATGGTAAAAGATTTCAGTTTTATCGATGGTTCAATGGTAGAATGCCGTTTCCCAATGGAGAGACCGGGTTCGATTCCCGGACGGAGCAATAGGAATGTTTTATAGCCTTGCTCTCGATACAAAAATTTTTGTAGAACGTATTTGAATTCTGATCATAAAGATAAAAAAGGATATTTTTAAATATTAACATATATTATACTTACAATATGTATTTCTATGGTAAAAGACTTTTCATGTGGCATCGATGGTTCAATGGTATAATGCTCGTTTCCCAATCGAATGACCCGGCTGCGATTGCCGGCATGAGCAATAGGAATGTTTTTATAGCCATGCTCTCAATGCAAAATTTCTTCGAGAATGTATTTGATTTCTGATCATAAAGATAAAAACTTATGTTTTTATATATTCACATATATTATACTTAAATACATACTATTACGGTTATAGACTTTCTGTGAGGCATCGATGGTTCAATGGAAGCATACTAGTTTCCCAATCGAGTGACCCGTGTTCAATTCCCGGTCGGTGCAATAGAAATATCTTTACAGCCATGCTCTCGATACAAAACTTTTGGAGTACGTATTTGAATTCTGTTCATGAAAATAAAAACGGATGTCTTTATATATTAACATATATTATACTTAAAGTATATATTTCTATGGTAAAAGACTTTTAGTGTGGCATCGATGGTTCAATGGTAAAATGCTCGTTTCCCAACGAGTGACCCGGGTTCGATTCCCGGTCGATGCAATAGGAATATATTTATAGCCTTGCTCTGGATATAAAAATTTTTGGAGAACGTATTTGAATTCTGATCATGAAAATAAAAACGGATGTCTTTATATATTAACATATATTATACTTACAATATGTATTTCTATGGTAAAAGACTTTTCGCGTGGCATCGATGGTTCAATTGTAGAATGCTCGTTTCCCAATCGAGTGACCCGGTTGCGATTGCCGGTCGGAGAATAGGAATGTTTTTATAGCCAAATGCTCTCAATGCAAAATTTCTTGGAGAATGTATTTTATTTCTGATCATAAAGATGAAAACATACGCCTTTATATATTCACATATATTATACTTAAGTGTATACTATTATGGTAAAAGACTTTTAGTGTGGCATCGATGGTTCAATGGTAGAATGCTCGTTTCCCAATCGAGTGACCCGGGTGCGATAGCCGGTCGGAGCAATAGGAATGTTTTTATAGCCATGCTCTCAGTGCAAAATTTCTTGGAGAATGTATTTATTTCTGATCATAAAGATGAAAACATACGCTTTATATATTCACATATATTATACTTAAATGTATACTATTATGGTAAAAGACTTTCCGTGTGGCATCGATGGTTCAATGGTAGAATACTCGTTTCCCAATCGAGTGACCCGGGTTCGATTCCCTTCGGTGCAATAGAAATGTTTTTACAGCCATGCTCTCGATACAAAATTTTTTGGAGAAAGTATTTGAATTCTGAGCATGAAAATAAAAACGGATGTTTTTATATATTAACATATATTATACTTACAGTATATATTTCTATGGTAAAAGACTTTCCGTGTGGCATCGATGGTTCAATGGTAGAATGCTCGTTTCCCAATGGAGAGACCCGGGTTCGATTCCCGGACGGTGCAATAGGAATGTTTTTATAGCCTTGCTCTCGATAAAAAAATTTTGTAGAACGTATTTGAATTCTGATCATGAAAATAAAAACTGATTTTTTATATATTAACATATATTATACTTACAATATGTATTTCTATGGTAAAACGACTTTTCATGTGGCATCGATGGTTCAATGGTAGAATGCTCGTTTCCCAATCGAGTGACCCGGGTGCGATTGCCGGTCGGAGAATAGGAATGTTTTTATAGCCAATGCTATTAATGCAAAATTTCTTGGAGAATGTATTTATTTCTGATCATAAAGATGAAAACATACGCTTTATATATTCACATATATTATACTTAAGTGTATACTATTATGGTAAAAGACTTTTAGTGTGGCATCGATGGTTCAATGGCTCGTTTCCCAATCGAGTGACCCGGGTTCGATTCCCTTCGGTGCAATAGAAAGTTTTTACAGCCATGCTCTCGATACGAAATTTTTTGAGAAAGTATTTGAATTCTGATCATGAAAATAAAAACGGATGTTTTTATATATTAACATATATTATTCTTACAATATATATTTCTATGGTAAAAGACTTTCCGTGTGGCATCGATGGTTCAATGGTAGAATACTCGTTTCCCAATCGAGTGACCCGGGTGCAATTGCCGGCAGGAGCAATAGGAATGTTTTTATAGCCATGCTCTCAATTAAAATTTCTTGGAGAATGTATTTGATTTCTGATCATATAGATGAAAATTAATGTTTTAATATATTCACATATTTATACTTAAATATGTACTATTATGGTAAAAGACTTTCCGTGAGTCATCGATGGTTCAATGGTAGCATACTCGTTTCCCAATCGAGAGACCCGGGTTCGATTCCCGGTCGGTGCAATAGAAATGTTTTTATAGCCATGCTCTCGATACAAAATTTTTTGGAGAACGTATTTGAATTCTGATCATAAAGATGAAAACGGATGTTTTTATATATTAACATATATTAAACATAAAGTATATATTCTATGGTAAAAGACTTTTGTGTGGCATCGATGGTTCAATGGTAGAATGCTCGTTTCCCAATCGAGTGTCCCGGGTTCGATTCCCGGTCGATGCAATGGAAATGTTTTATAGCTGACTATCGATACAAAATTTCTTGGAGAATGTATTTGAATTCTGATCATAAAGATGAAAACATATGTTTTTATATATTCACATATATTATACTTAAATATATACTATTATGATAAACACTTTCCGTGTGGCATCGATGGTTCAATGTTAGAATACTCGTTTCCCAATCGAGTGACCCGGGTGCGATTGCCGGCAGGAGCAATAGGAATGTTTTTATAGCCATGCTCTCAATGCAAAATTTCTTAGAGAATGTATTTTATTTCTGATCATAAAGAGGAAAACGGATGTTTATTTAATTCAGATATATTTTATTTATAGTATATATTAATATGGTAAAAGAGGTTTCACGTTTTTAATCGATGGTTCAATGGTAGAATGCCCGTTTCCCAATGGAGAGACCCGGGTTCGATTCCCGGTCGGTGCAATAGAAATGTTTTTACAGCCATGCTCTCGATACAAAAATTTTTGCAGAAAGTATTTGAATTCTGATCATGAAAAAAAAACGGATGTTTTTATATATTAACATATATTATACTTACAGTATATATTTCTTAGGTAAAAGACTTTCCGTGTGGCATCGATGGTTCAATGGTAGAATGCTCGTTTCCCAAAGGAGAGACCCGGGTTCGATTCCCGGACGGTGCAATAGGAATGTTTTATAGCCTTACTCTCGATAAAAAGTTTTTTGTAGAACGTATTTGAATTCTGATCATAAAGATAAAAAAAGGATGTTTTTATATATTAACATATATTATACTTACAATATATATTTCTATGGTAAAAGACTTTTCATGTGGCATCGATGGTTCAATGGTAAAATGCTCGTTTCCCAATCGAGTGACCCGGGTTCGATTCCCTTTCGGTGCAATAGAAATGTTTTTACAGCCATGCTCTCGATACAAAATTTTTTGGAAAAAGTATTTGAATTCTGATCATGAAAATAAAAACGGATGTTTTTATATCTTTATATATATAAATCTTTATATATATAAATCTCGCGTCACAATGTTTGTCCTCAATGGAC